GTAGAAATTGAGAATGTTGTCGAAGCTGAAAATGAAGTGGAAGAGCAGGAGGAACCTGAAGTTATATCTTCGCGGTCCTCCACCTCAGAGGAAAATGTAAATAATCATGATAAGGTATGTAGAGCAAGTGAGTGATTTTCTGGTAAAACAAATATATATATATATATATATATATATATATATATATATATATATATATGTTGGCACAATACATTAATATATATTAATGTAATTATAGATAATGTTTGTGTTCTATTTAGATCTCGTAACAGGTAAGTATTTTGGACATTTTCAGACTATGGATGTATTTTTCTAAACATAAATGATAATTACAGGAGGTTAAACCAGAAGTAAAGCCTGAAAGAAAAAGGAGAGAGAAAACTTCTGAACTAGCACAGCTTTATGCCGACATGGACACCAACGGTGACACACCCACAACATCCTCATCACGATCACTAAGATGTGAGTAATGCTGTTGCAGTATGGATTGTGAAGCCTAATCATTGATTTCACTCTTTATCTACTCCAAATAGATAAGTGTTGTAAAGAAAGATATTCACATTTTTAACCCCCCACTATATCTGTCCAGGCCACAAACCTGTCGGGATACTCTCAACTGTTGGGTCGAGACAGCAGAGTGAGGATGAGGAGGAAGAGGAAGGCGAGTATTCTGGGGAGGAGGAAGACTGGCACAAAACAATCATGATTGGTGCATCGTACCAGGCACAAGTACCGGAGGGCCTCCAAGCATATGGTGCGACACCACCTTATGAGAACGAAGATAAACTACTGTGGGAGCCTGGCAAATTGAGTCCTAAACAGGTACATGACGGGGAGCAATTGGTGAGTGTTTTTGAACAAAAGGGATGAAGAAACTGTATAGAGAAAGCTTCTGTGTCGTTTTTAATTCATATCTATTTATAGATTTATTTGTTCATGAATTGTTTTAGTTTTTTGTAGGACACATTATTTTGTTGAAAGATTAGCAAAAGAAAACAGGGTAAAAGAAAGAGTGAATGAGAGTGAGTGAGTGATGTGCATATGCCAAAGAAAGAGTGAATGAGAGTGAGTGAGTGATATGGATATGCCTGTCAAAATTGGACTTTGCCCAATAGGGTTTTAAGGAAAGGAAAACTGTTTATATTTTGAAATATTGGTAATGTTCCAAAAAATTCATAACCCTTGTAAAAGCTAGAAATGCTGTATTTAAACATAAGAAAAGGGTTGTTGTTTCCTATTTATAGAGTTTTGAGAATTGTGAATCTTTCACTTAAACTTATACTGCTGTAACTCTGTCATGAATATTATTACAATAGCTGATAATGAGAAGAGGTCCAAAGATAACTGGTAGGAGTTGGTATGTACGTTAATATGAAATATTTACACTTACACATATAACATCAACAAAAAAATCTTACTCTTGTGTGCAGATGAATATGTTCTTGCATTTGTTTTCCAGAACCCAACAATTTAAGGTTGTGTGTGTGTGTGTGTGTGTTTTTTTTTTTTCTCTTTCTTTCTTTCTTTCTTTCACATCCCATCTTGTACTTGTTCTTATTCTTACTCTTTCTTTTGCTTCTTTTAATTATTATTTTACTTCACCTATCCAGTTCTCATCTTCCCTCTGTGCCTTTCCACACCATATTCTTGTTTTTCTTCCTTTTATCTCTCTCTTCTTTCTTTCACCCTCATTTGTTTAAAAAGTGTGGAGCTGAGGATGTATAAGAGTTTGTTCAGCTATTTTGAATGTGTGTGTTGAGTTTCAGGTAGATTTAGAAAGGAAAAAGCAGGTATGTCATCATTAATGATAAAGGTAAATGCAGTATGGTTACACATTTTAGGAAATGAATTATAAACCATTTGTAAGGAAAGGATTGTCAGGGTTCTGCTTAACCCAGTAATGACAGCTCCTGCCATCATACAGTATACAGAATACTAGTAATACTGAATATCACATCAGGGTGTGTGCTGCATCAGCTTCTTGAGGGGAAAATCAGAAGCATGGGGAACATGAAATTACCATCTCTCAATATTCTTAGTTGCAAAATAAACCAAGTTTTAGGTAGCAAGGATAAAAAGTGGCTCTAATCCTGCTTTTGAGGGGCTGTTTCTCCCCAACATAAAGCTAGGGTCAAGCAGGCACAACTTCAAGCAGGCTCAACTCCATATTATGCAAAGATGTAATCTTGGCCTGAGGGGTGTATGTATGTATTAAGATGTAATGATGTGTGAACCGTATTCATGTTGACAAATGTGGAAAGGTATGAATGAGAACGAGTGTCTTCACAATACAAGAGATGTATTTCTGACGAAGATATAATCGAAACCGGTCAAATACATCTCTTGTATTGTGAAGATGTTCGTTCTCATTCATACCTTTCCACAAATGTAATGATGTATTAAGATATCTTGTCATTATTGGATTAAGGGCTGAATGAAAGACAATGATTTATGTGTTAAACAGAATGAAAAAACGAATAATGATAAAGGAAACCCATGTTGGACTATTTGTTTCGTGCTAAATGTCTGTCAGTCTGAATTTCTTTGTTCAAATAGCAGATGTAAATGGGTCATCAAGATTGTATATATTGTCTAAAGAATCCTATACTGCAACAGATAATATGGAAGAGAGAATAGAATGCTGGCTGTGAACTGTAGATTAATCCCATGCTACTAGGTGACTTGTTTGCTCATGCCATGACTCATGCCATGACTGTTGTGGACCAAGTAGTGGGTGGCATCGCATCATGACCATTCCCACGCAGTCGACTCATCAGATGGAGATTATTTTTCTCTGATAGTAGCAGCATCATTTCTTTGGTGAAACTTGTTGGCAAAAGCACCTAAAGTGAAGGTAAACCTTCACATTTTAAAAATTATTTTAAAAGATATCAAAATATAAGCTTTTAGGTGCCTAATGTTGCCTGCAAACTACTGAACTGGCTGGGTGCAAACTGGGGAAACTGTCTATGCATGCCAGCAAACCTGCATTAATGGCCACTAGCCAAATTTTTAACCTGCTGTTAATGGGTATATTAAGCAAATCCATTTGTGTTGTTTAGAATTAAAGAAAAATGTCTGGATCATCCATCATGGATTATTTCAAAGTAGTAGTATTGTTACACACCTACAATCTTACATGCACACACATGCACAAACATACACAGACATGCATAGCGATTTTTGTTTGATATGTAAGTAAATTTCTATCCATATTATTTTCATCTTATTGAGCAGTTCCTAGATGACGAATCTCGTCTTGTGTGCTCTCAGGTGGAAGAATATCTGCGCGCGTTAAGCCATCCCCCTCCTGGGTCTCAGGGTGTTGCTGCCATTCCTCTTGGAAAACACGTTCGAGACGACGAGCAGGTTAGTAGTTCTGTTATATTATATTTTTATCTTTTGTGTTTCAGTTAGGCATGTGATCATACTTAACCCCCTGGATCCGAATGACGTTGCGATCACGTCAAGGAAAAACTTGGTACTGGTGACATGAATAAAGCATCAAGAGCGAAGGCCAGGATGACAGAAAAGACTCAGCACGAGTGCACAAACCACTTGGAGTGTGATTTGACTCATTTAGCGCTTAGATGGGGGCTATAGCATTATTTCCATCGATAAATGAATGTGGAATGTAATGTGCGTAAGCAGTGACAGGAAGAGCACCAGCTCTAGGGAAGACGCCATTTCCATGCTGCACACTGTATTCCTGGCCGTTGTGACCAGCGGCCAGGATGTATTACATAAAATTGAAAATTACAAAAAATTAGATATATGACACAAATAATCAAATGTTCCATATATTTTTTTTTTTCTTGCACTAAGCTATTTACTACATTGAGAGATGATGATATGGAGTCTGTGCAAGGAAAATAAGTAATAACCATCTGGATAAAGTAAATCAAAAGACAAATATGGACATTGGATAATGGTGATAAAGCTAAAAAAGTTTTCACAAAATAACTTTGCAAAGGGGAAGCACAGAGTCTTCTTACCACTCATGGATTTTAGTGCGCACCCGGCCTACGCACCGCACTCCCAGGCTGCTGGCCACTTACGTAACTATTGCAACCGAATCCAGGGGGTTAAGTGGCAAGTGTTTAGAAGCTGAATTGCATCATTTTATTTTGGGGTAATAACATTGTTCAAGTTTACCATTCTTTACTTTCTTTTCCTTTTCAGGCTTTGTATTTGTTACTACAGTGCGGGTATAATGTAGAAGAAGCCTTAAGGAGGCATAGAATGAACCCCACCCCACTTGCCTCCACAATGACTCTATGGTCTGAAGAGGAATGTAGAAATTTTGAAAATGGCCTTAAAACATATGGTAAAGATTTCCACCTAATACAACAAAATAAGGTATGATATGTTTTTTTTATATCTTGATGTTAGCTTAAGTAGTAATACTGTGCATTGTTTACTCCCTCATTGTCATCAGTATGTGTGCATATATATATATTTTTTTTTTCCTTCTACTCTGTCATCTGTTTTTTGTGATCCTAACAGATGCTCTCATTCCTGTGTTCATTATTATTTTTTCATGTGTAGTAGTGATAGTTTGTAATGATTCCTTACTTAAGCATCCACAGTTCATGTATTTTGTCTCCTTGCATATTATTATAATTATTACTGTTATTGTTGTTATTTTTTAGTAAGATAATTGTGCTCATGTTAATCTGTTGTTGACCAGTTCACAGGATTATTTGATGGTACTGGATGTTTGTGTAACTTATAGTGTGTTAACAGTGGTTCCCAACCTTTGCAGTCTGACAACATTAATGATATGTTATTAGTGTTGTCACACAACTACAAATTTGTTATATGTGTATAGACCTAATATATTCCCTTGAAATTGTATAAACTACAGTGAGTTACTCTATATAAAACTTATTGTATTTAATTGATATGGAACTTAAGGTTACCTCAATTTCCTAAATTTCACAATGTTTATGAATGAAAAGGCAGTAACTTAGAGGCAAGATATAAACATACAAACAATT